TGTGCCATACATGTATTAACTCCTTCACATCTAATGCTTTTATATTCGCACTTACTGGTATCTTCAAATTGTTTATTCTTTTAGACAACTTTGTCTACTTGATATCGCTCTTTTTCTACTCACTTGTTCTTTTTGTACTATAGTGAAATGTGGCAAGATCAGCCAATTTACATGTGTGCGAGGTTCTGTGTTGATTTCGTCATTTCTTTGCAATACCATTTTGCAAGAGTTCAGCTGTTGCTGTAGATTGAACATTCTCTAATTCTACTTTTATATGTCAATAATAAATTGCTCATACCATTTTTTTACTAATCATTGAGTGGAATATTTGTTCGATACCATCACCACGAGCTGTGTCTTTTCGCTCCTCCTTTACCGAAATCTTTCCCATCTTTACCGCAACCAGACATGTTTCAATCAGAGAGTTAGCAAGCTTATCATAAACTAATATGAAATAATTGGGTTAAAAAGAACATTTTGAACGATATTGGTGCACTAATCTTTAAACACATAGGACAAATGGCTGTCAAATAGGTAACATAATCTAAACCGGTGACTTTGAAATTGTCAATTCAATATTATCTTCTCTTTGCCATTCTTGATGAGAATGCTGATTCCACTTAGTTCCGTTAACAAATAGTACAAACATGCCTATTTTACAAAATGTATCACTGGAAGTTATATTTTGAGAGCTCTCCTACGGTATTATTATTATTTTTCCTTTGAGTTCCTAGTGGAACAAAGGGCTTCAGTAGCACGTCTTCTTTTCACTCTGTCCTCTGCAGTCTTTACAACCTGGCTCCACAACTGTCCACAAGCTTTCATTTCTTCTTCACATGATCTCCTTCATGTCACCCTCGCCACGGATACCCAACTCGTCGCTTCCCCTTTAGATTCCACTCGAGGGCCTGGTACGTAATGTCCCCAGTTGGCCTTCTCAGTGTATGCCCAATTCATCTCCACTTCCTTCCAGTGCATATTTGTTGGGTAATAAATTCTTGGTTGGTTCGTTCCCAGAGTTCCTTGTTGCTTATTCTTTCTGGCCATCTGATCTTCAGTAACGAGCCAGCATAGGTGGCAGTTGTTGATGAGTATCTGTAATTTGTTGGAAATCCTTTTCGTAACGCGCCAAGTTTCTGAACCATATAGAAGCACTGACTTGACGTTGGTGTTGAAAATCCGGATCTTGTTGTTCATGCAGAGTTGTAGTGCAGTAGATCTCCACCTTGGTCTCAGATTAGTGAAGGCCTGTCTTGGTGTTTTTTCAATGCTGGCTTTGACATCCTCATCTGTGTCGCTGCCTGTAGTTGAAACGATGCTGCCTAGGTAGGTGAAAGAGACAACTTATTTTAGATTTCTCCTGCTGATAGTGGTTGATGCTTGTTGTTGATGCTGTTGTTAATTGAGTATCTTCATCACCTCCGTCTTCTGTACATTCACTTGGATTGCTGTCTTCGCTGCCTGCCTCATCTGTCAACTTGTTAGCTTTCGCTTGTAGATCTTTGAGTTTGTGCGACAAGACATCGGACATAAATCATCATCGGCGCAATCCAAATCTTTTAGGGTCTTTTCATCGGTCAAACAGCGTATGCCCCTCTTCTTGCTCCTCACAGCATTACTTGATATAAATTAGTGTCCACTCTCAATTGAAACGTTGTGTTATTTTGTAACCAAGTAGTAAAATACAGTTGCATTGAACTATCCAAGCATATATCTTTCAATTCACTGATGATTATTTTCCGTTTCTGCTCCAGAGTAAACACGTTTGAAATTTTCCTGAAAATTTGATAATGGTGTGGTTTATTGGTAATCCTTATCGCCGCTATGATATGTATCCTTTGAAACTGCAGTTCATAACGTGGAATTTAATTTTCCCTAACTGGTATGCAACTGTGACTCATTAACTTAAACACTTGACTTTCAGTCAGGATTCAAAGATTCGAACCCAACTTTACTCATCAACATTTTGGGTGACTATTTGATATAATCCTTACAAACACAGAACTGGCGTAACCTGTAGCGTATGGAAGTACCCTCCATGTAATTGCTGAGTTGCAATGTGATTTGCCACCAAATTGATCTTTATCAATTCTGAGCTGCATTTAACACTCAACCTGCACGAATGTTTTTCAGCAAGTTGTGTTTTCGCAAAGCGTTACTTGGGAAAATACCCTACAGCACTGTATGTTTATAAGAACTTTTCGAGAATTTTCTTCAACTTGCAGTTTTATGTGTGAAAGTTGTAAATTAAATGCGCTATCATGTGAAACATGGGATCAGATGGTAATTCAGTGAGGACCCACCTTGATAGCATACTGCTATAATCGAATTAATGATTTCAGTTTCAGCTCATCATTTAACATTTCTGTTATCGATTATTTTCTTCGATTGAACTCCTTTGTGTTAGTTCGATTTTGTTGTCAACTCATTTTTTTCCCTTCATTTTAGGTTTCTATGGCTTGTTTGCAATAGTAATGCTTGTTTTTTTATAGCACACAAGATTATGCATGTTTTCTGATAGTTGGTTGGTGGCAATCGGCATGAAGCCATACTCAACCTAGGTTTCATGCTTGTTGGCATTTGTCAGCAAGGCAAGTCTGCAACCTTGAAGGAACTGATATCTCCTTTGGAATATATTTGTTATATTACTCCTCACTTCCACTTGATTCACCTTTTAACTATGTCACACTAACAGTTTCCTTGTAGAATTCACAAATGCAATATTTAACTTAAGCATCCTATAGGTTTGCGAATCACTCAACTTTATCCACTATGTCACAGAAAATAATCAGTAGATTGTTGAGTGTGAGTGATGTTAGTACATAGCGGTTGAATGTCTTAAAAGTATGAACCCTATGATCTGGTGATAATTTGCAAATTTATCGAAATAATCCAAGAAATCGGTACAAAACCTAAGTTATACTGTATTCGAACCACCAACCTCCCTGATGATCGGTGTACTCTCTTTCCTAATGATGGTATCATAAGACTCAACTGATAATCAGCTCTCCATTTTATTTCAGTCGTGAAGAGCTTTGCCCAGTTGTCATAAAAGTAAGTGATTTATAGTAAGAAAACCAACTGATACCATGTAATTCCTGGAATTCAAAACATCATCCATCGTAAGTTATTCTAGCTTACTTTTATTGTTGTACTTGTTATAATGCTAAGCTGATCTACATCCCAACTGACAGATAAGAATTCGCACAAAATGTAATACTGTAAGCGATTAACCTCCGAAAAGTTTGAAATTTCTGAAGTTTGCGGAACTTCCATATCATGTTTCAATATAAAGTTTGAATGTACAGTGTCTATGGAAATTCACTCAGTGACTGTGTGCACATTCATAAGGCACATATTGCTTGAGGGCTAATGATACTACCTAACTGTCCAAACCTCTGTACGTGCAGCTGGATTCGAACCATCTGTTGGAAACCAAGCGCCGAGAACAATGAATCACAACCCCTTTGTAGTCTCTATGAATTTTGTAACTTTCAATTTCAGCTGGCAGTCGTTTGATTGTCAAATCAGACGCTAGATTCAATGCAGGTTACCTTTATGAAATTGTGTTAGTAGTGTTTTCACGAGCTTCATGCTCTAGATGAAGATCTATTCACGTCTGACTCGAAGAATTACTGACACTTTTATTATTTCTTATAAATACTGCCCTTGTTTTCATTACGAATGGTTGTGTTTACTCTATACTGCATATTTCAACTATCATCGGGTAGGCGAAAAGGAAATTGTTCCAATGCTAATAGCCTTAGAAATATTCAATTGTCAGAGTATTATTGACAGTTTGACACTTTTCAGTGTTAGCAGAATACAAAACCGTCAAGTTACCATCTCTTGAATGAATGTTGTCAGTACTTGAACTATTGAATATAGTTTCTGATAACAACAATTAATACGCTATATGAAGTATATGTCATACCCAACCAAAAACAACAGCAAAACAAGCTTCAATCACCATCAACGGGAGAAACTTAAAAGAAGTAGCCTCCTTCACCTATCTAGACAGCATCGTTTCAACTACAGGTGGCACAGTCACAGACGAGGACGTCAAAGCCAGCCAGGATCGGAAAAGCAAGCAAGACAGGCGTTCATTAGCCTGAAACCAGTGTGGAGATCTTCTGCACTGCACTCAGCATAAAGTGTGTGGGAACAAGATCCAGATTTTCAACACTAACATCAAGCCAGTGCTCCTGTATGGTTCAAAGAGTTGGCGCGTTACGAAAGGGATTTGTAACAAACTACAGATATTCATCAACAACTGCCACCTATGCTGGCTCGTTAGTGAAGATGAGATCAGATGGCCAGAAAGGATAGGTAACAAGTAACTCTGGGAACGAACCAACCAAGAAGGTATCGCTGAATAAGTATGCACTGGAAGGAAGTGGAGATGGATTGAGCATACACTAAGAAGGTCGATTGGGGAAATCACGCATCAGGCCAGGTCGTGGAGTGGAACGCCGATGTGGAGCGACGAGTTGGGCGTCCGAGGTGAGGGTGACATGGAGATCGTGTGAGGAGGAAATGAGAGGTTGTGGGCAGTGGTGGAGTCAGGTTGAAAAGATTTCAGAGAAGAGAGTGCAATGGAGACGTGCTACTGAAGCCCTATGTTCCATTAAGAACCCAAGGGACAAATAATAATAATCAAGTATATGTCACTTTGATAATATTGTGGAAATAAACAATGACAAGTTCTTCCCAGATTGTAAAAACAACTGTTCTAGTGTCGGTTATGAACATCCACACCTTGATTAACAGTTATTTACCACAGGTATTTATGTCATCAGATCATTGAAATCTATCCAACTGATAAGTTAACATGATCCCATCTCAGCCTTGAATCTTTTTATTGAATCCCAGGTGTCATATCATTGAAGAACTTGAGAATCAATTTGAACAACGAGTGAATATCAAATGAAAATTGTTAATATTAACAAAAAGATTATAATTATATTCAACTTTTATTTAATTAATTACTTATTTTCCAGGTGTAGATCGAAAGTTTTCTAATCCATGTATGAGTACTGCATTGAGTATTAACAGTGCTCATTTCAACACTAATAATCATAGTCAACTTAGTTTTCGTTCACCGAGTGATCCAGATTTATTTCTAACCTTTTGTGAAGATTCAATACGAAAGTCAACTATGAATCAACCATTACCACAATACATTGATCACCGGCATCATCCTGCTGTCTCTGGTGTTGTTAATTCCTCACGTACAAATTTTGCTTCAAATGGTATGATGAAGTTGATGATGATGAGTACCTTGTCAGATTCATTTAAATATCATCTTACACGTCAAAAATCTGAAAGTCAACTTCTTACTGATCGTCATGATTCATTTGATGAAGTTCTATGGGATTTTCAACCAACTCCTTTATACTGATGAACAGAAACAGACTGGTATTCTTTCTTCATGATATATTACTGTTTCTGGTCACTTGCTTTTGATAACTTTGTCATCTGTCCAAGTACACACACACACACACAGTGAATATTGAACCTACACCAGAAATACATTCAATACTCAAGGTGTATTCTCACATTATAACCACCCTGACAAACTTAACTAGGTAAGACATCAATTCTAGAATTTGGAAGCATTAAACCATATTTTCACTCTTGTTTCTTCCCAGTTATACCCTGAACAAGCTTTGATCTTATTGTTTACATCTTCTTTCTCGTTTCAATAATACAAAAATATTATATGTCATTATTAACTGTGATAAATTTCCTATTCATAACTATAGTTTTTCCAAATCAATTTTAACCTCACCTTATATACTACTTATTTAAGTAACAAACCTGAAAGCAATAAAGATAAGGTCATTGCAAGTGAAAGCATATTTTGTTTCATCTCTGTTCACTTGTTCTTTCCTTCAATTACCTTATTGTCTATCCATTCAATAATCCAATGACTACAGCTGTTAATGTTCACGATGGCACCGGTGCTGTCGCACTTCAATACATTACTTAACTTTTTATAGTTTTTATTCACCATGACAACATATATTCTCTTTACTATTAAATGCTTTGTTTATTTTTATTTTTCCTTTCATACTTCACTTAACCAATTTAACGGTGTATTTTCTACGCTAAATTGTTTATAACTATGACATGTTGTATATTTGTTGAACAGAAATTTGTGTATAATACCGTCAGAATATTTAGTAACTACGATCCAAATGACTTTTTTGTACACTGTACTCTGTTATCAATACGCTGAGTTCATCATTGTCATCTTTATGACAGGAAATATATCTATGTTTATATATTTTTACAAAGTGAAGTTTCATTTAAACTGCATCATTTAAGCTGTCGGTGGTTTGTTTTTATGACACCCCTCCTCCTATTCCTACTCTCTTTATCAGTGTTATCTCTTTGCTATCCTTGTTTTGGCCTTTCTTATCAACAAAAACCATTATTTTTTGGTACGTGATACACAAAACTATAGTCACATCTCTCTCTCTCTCTGCATTATGGTTGGTGTATCTCAATCTGTATGAGTGTTGTGTGCTGGTGTGTCCAAGAATCCTCAGCAATGGGTTTATGTATATCGTAAAAGAGAGAGCACGTTGCAATAATCAATAAAAGATTAAACTTACACCTTTTCTTTACTATTTTATCTCTGCATTTTATTTTTCCACCTTTATATATATATATATATATATATATATATATATGTATGGAAACAGTTCTTACACTCGCTAACTGCTGATGTTATTATTATTGTTTATAGAGATTGAAATGTTTTTCTACATTTGTGATACAAACTATTTTCTCTCGCTTTTTCATTCTTTTATTACAATGGAAAACATTATTTTGCCATTTTTCTCTCAATCTGTTTCTTCTGTGCTTTCCTTTTCTCCTCATAGAGAGTTAATAACAAATGTCATCATTACTGAATACTACTGCTATAATACATTGATGCATATGAACTATATTTTTACGAAATATTCTGCACTACTTCATCTTTGCTTAGAGTACCTTGATGGTAACGTCTGGTCTATTCGATTCGTTGAAATGCTATGAGACTCAGAGATTATTCTGAAGGTACCTGAAAGATCTTGGTTGTATTGTGTTCTCTGAGCTAGATTGTTTAATCGTGAAGCTTTCATCGTCCTTCTAGACGACATCATCGCCACTAACTTCAGTATAAAGTGAGCTGTCAATATCTCTCCGTGAGTGATTTAGTAGCTTGCCTTGACGAAGCGGTCTGTGATTGGTTGTTTCCTTTAATTGTTGTGTCGTTGGCTGTCCCTCTGCTTGACCTCTGACCTTTCTGTCGTTTATCCTTTTTCTCAGTGGTTGATAGATTGGGTCTATGTCTATACATCTGTTGATTGCTGACTGACTGACCTGAATACCAAGCTTCTAGGAATTCTCTGATATCTTTTGTGTTTCCTCTGTCCAAAATTTCCACGTTGTCGAAATTGAATTCATGTCCATAGTGTTACCCACGTGTATTGAAATGAGTGATGAAATGTCGTGACATTTAATAGCCAATTGGTGTTCATATAGGCGAAGAGGGCGACCACTTTGTCCAATGTAGTGTTGACTACAGTTATTGCAGTTGATTTTGTAAATGATATTCGGTTTGTCTTCTTCTGTTGTCTCATTCGTTTAGTCTGCATAATTGTGTTTGTAAAGAATTTGTTGGTTTATGAGGCATACCAATTCCAAGTGGTTTCAGTAATCTTGTCGTGATTTCTGATATATTCTTTATGTATGGTAGGGTGATGCGTTTATTCATTTCTGTCGATGACTTTGTAGTTGATGATGTAGGGGATGGCCATCTTCTGATAAAGTTTCGTGGGTAGCCGTTCTTCTTTAGGATGGGGATCAAGTAATTTTCTTCGTTTCTCCGTGAAGTTGTTGTACTGCAGTGTGTTCTCGCTCTTCTGAATAAAGTCTGCACGCAACTGATTTTGTGTATTGTTGGGTTGTTGCTACAGTAGTTGAGAAAAAAACTTATGTGACCACAGAACCCATGGGTTGTCTGCTTGAGGCCTTTAGCGGATTGTTGTTTTAACGCCAAATAGAGAAAACCCATGCTGCCAGCACCCATAGACTATGGGGTCGAAACTAGTGTTGTAATTTTGCGACCGACCTTTTGCAACCACCCCACTACCTCAAATTGGGAAGAAAAACAAAACATAAACTCACTCAGCTGCCATATGCACATCTGTGGAGTAGACAGTGACCCACACCTCTTGTGTGTGGGATTTTGATGCTACCTGGCTGTCCAAACCTCAGTAGGTGGAGCGGGGAAGGTAGGATCAGTGTGGCCCTACTGGTCATCCAAGAGATATACCTTACTGCTTTCACACCCCATCCAGCTAGCAGGAGTATGACTTCGCCCTCAGACCCCGTCATAGTGTAGTGTAGCTGCTTTTCGTCTTACAGACCTTTATAGCATGGTGGGACCTCGACGGAACAAGCGTTCCAGGCAGTGTAGTTCTTTGGGTCATTGTGTTTTACAGGACCGGCCATTGAGTCAAGGTAGCAGCTATCAGACGGGAGATTCAGAGATACGCTTTATTGACAGGTCGAAATGCTCAGATAAACTAGAGTCTTCTGAATACCTTTAACGATTAGGCGGCAGTGTTTTGGGATGCATTTCTCACCTCTTGAATGTAGATTGATTTTTCTGGACTGATGAAAATCAGTGGTGCACTTAACTGTAGAAGGTTGGCGAGATATCACCGCTCTATCCGACTATGTATAATAGTTAGATGTAGTTGCTAGAGTTGATGGTTTGCACAATGATTTTCTTCTCTGTTCTACATGTTCTTGATTTCCTTTCTATCTTCAACAGCTTTGGTGGCTTGGAGTGGTACGAAATTGTGCTAGCACCTAGATTATTTCTGTCTATCTGTCATTGTTAGTACTTTTAACAGATATGAAGTTATTATTAGGAAGGATTTATTTCGAACCCTAAACGTTTGCTCAATTCACCTAAGCATTAAATTTGTGAGCCTAACATAGTTGGTTCAGTTCGGATGTTGGTGCGGAAATATTGTTTTTAAGAAGTTAGTATTCATCATGGACTGACATCATCTAGAGAATCAATGAAAATCTGGGAAAACTGGGTAGTTATTTCGTCCTGATATAGGACTCCTCAGTAGTTCCCATCCATAACCCTGCCATTGACCGAACCCAAGACCTTCGAGCTTCGCGACAAGCATGTTACCATTGAGCCACTGGTTCGGAATGCAATCTAAAAACCTCTAAATTGAATTACTGCTCAGTGCTCATCAGTGACTTCTTTCGAGATGAGATTTCTCGAAGTTTTATTATGAAGTTGTGACCCGTCGAGCAAGCTAAGTTCGACAAATACTCAACAATGACATTGGATGAAGGTTACGGTATGTCGTGAATTGACAAAAGTACCGAGATATAGATCACTGGATTCCGACCGAGTGGCTCAATGGTGATGTGCTCACCGGGAAACCTGAAGGTGCAAGGCTCGATGCCTGGGGGGTCGGGGATTGGATGCACACCGCTGAGGAGCCCCATGCTAGGATGAAACAGCTGTCCAGTGCTCCCAGGTTTCAAATGCTTCTCCGACTGATGTCGGTCATCGATGAATAATAACTTAATAGATGGTTGTTGATTAGCATAGAGGACTAGAGCATGACGTTGAATTTCGACTAATAATTTACATGTCATCTAATATGATGGAACTCAGAGAAATATTGACGTTAATAAATTTACTTAGTTGAACAAATGTTGTCTTATAATATTGATGAAGTTAAAACTTCAGAATCTGTTGAATGTGATTGGAGGAAAAGATTCGGTTAATACATCTTATTTTTGGGGATAGTGACTAGCATCAGAATCCAGGACGCTCGGTTCGTCCTATTTGAGACGCGTCAGCCGAATTTACCTTCCTCCCAGTGAGTGATGTTGTCCCCACTAGGACCCAAACTCTGGACCGATCGCCCCAAATGCCAAAGCGCTATGCAGTAGGCCAGTGAGTTACAATAACCACTTCTTGTGCAACAAACATAGTTTTAATATTATACTCAAGTAACAAGATTAATATTTCCTTACTTTTCAGTTGTTTGTCAAACAGCATAATGGTCAGGTGGTGACTAGTTTATTTAATGACCTTAGAATTATACCTTATTGATTTTAGTTGTCAACTTTCCACTGGCAGTCCAACTAATCGGAATTCACTTCACTTATGCAGGTCCCCTTCCCCCAACTGGAATGTGTCTAATGGAGGTGGTAAAAGATTAACTCAACAAGTCGGATAAATATCATTTGTTTTCCATTCTGGAAATATCATTTCTTGTATTATTTTGTAGGGAATTACCCTCATGTGAGTAATGTCCTTCTCATAAGCCCCTTCAGCCTTAATCAAATAACAGTTAAATAACACCGTTTAATACTAACATACTAGTCACAAACCGTTTCAATCAAGATACGGTACCAGGTGAATAGGCAAAACAACTTTTATACCAAAATTTTAAATTTACGAAACTTCGAAAGCTCTTACTGATCTCGGCGTGTAACGCTTAGCTTCTTAACAAGAATAGTTATGTGAAAGACATCCCATGAACTGTCAGTCATAGTCGAAAACTGTGTTCATAAAAGCTGTCCCACTGACCGTTAAGTATTATAGCTGTTTATGCCTTCAGAATTCGAATCAAAACCGACTCACCTACCTTATGAACATTTGTGCGGTGGGCAATGAATTATACCTGGTGTATGAGGGATGATGATACCACGTGGTTGCTTTAACCTCGACCTGCTGGTTAAACGTAGTCTCCCTAAATCAATGAGCTAAAACTCCACTCTTTTCTCGACAGTACACTGGACAAAATATTGCTCACAACAAATGCTCTCAGATATGTCGATACAAGCATATCATGCAACACATGAGGCAATTTGCTGTGAAATACTGGTAATTTTCATATGTAGCTTGATATTCAAACAAAAACATCATGTTCGGAAAATTTTATAGAATTCAATAGACGTGGTATTGATCTTGGTAACTATCAGTGGAGTCCAAGACGCACGTTTCGCCGTGTTTGTAACTCGTCATCTAGGTGCACCTGCACCCTAGTGAGTGATGTTATCTCCACTTAGCCTAGAACTCAATACCTATCGTTTCAAACGGAAAAGCGCTGTTCACAAGACTACTGGAACATAAGAGCCACCACTTGTTCACTTAGTAGCAGTTGTCGTTTATTGATACTTTTAACTTCCCGTTGCTATACAGGGTGGAATTGTTCAACCTCTGATTCAATAAATATTTAAAAATGTTTATTCAAAAGGTAAGTGCAGTAACTGTTGTTATCGATACTATTTCGATCTTTTGAAGACAAAGCGTCATGATAAGTTGCTTGTCGTATAGCAAGGCAATAAAGTTCTCAACTAATTGACTTCAATGCTGCCTAACATGAGTTTCTGTTGAAGGGATTAAGAAAACATTATTATAGATGGGTAGATAGACATAAAGATGTAAAACTTCTTACTTTAGTCAAGTGATTTCAGTTTCTGGACTTCTTATCAGCATCAAGAAAGTAAAACGATATTGCGATGAACGAAAAGAAAGATATTAGTGAAAGAGGAGCAAATAAACTGATTGAATGTTATCATATGTTCATGGTATACAAAGAGATGAAGTTTGAATGTATCTGCATCACAGCAATATATTTCAGTCATAATCAACCACGGTTTTTAACCATTCAACCTCTATATCTTTAGAACTTCAGTCATGAAATCTTCAACTCATATGTACGTAACCTATAGTTCATTGCTTTGTGTAGAGATTACCTATTTTTACTCCAGTCTGCACTGCATATCCTCGTGACTAAAACGATCAATTCGCCTTCTCCTAATCTCTGTATGTTACTTCTGTGCTGTCTGTACCATAGTTTCACTGTATTTAAGGAATGCTTTGGAAATATCTACAATCGAAGACTATATTTTTTTCAACTCTGGTGGCTGTTGTAGCGTATAACAGGTTGCTATTTGTTGTCAGTGTGATTAGTTACTGACAAATAAGAAGATCAGAATTCGAATGC